GTTCCGCCTTGTATAGCTGGTTATATAGTTTGATCGATGCCCGGTCAGCATTCCGATCGATTGCGTCGATCGGTTGCGTGATATTGATCAATCAATATCACGCTCGATTTGATCATCAAATTTAGGAATTTGTTGATCAGCTTTTTCGCAATGTTCTCGCGATGCATTTCTTCGGTCTTTCGAAAGACTGGTCGCGATTTCGGCGATCACACATTTGTGTCATCTTTCGAAAGACTTTTCGAGGCTCGTGCAACCTAATTTTGTTGCCATGCGGACTACTTTTATTATTGGTTGTAGGCCTGGCTACAACAGATGACTTTCAACAGCCTTTTTCTTTTGATTAAATAAAAAAAGCAATGCGTGCCGCAAATGTTCTTTTTCAGGCACAAAATTCGACATGATCACTGAACAATGATAAAACAAAGACGCTAGTTTTTGGCGGACTCAACTTGTGTGTGTTTGTAGTTTTAAATGTCAGACGAACAAAATGATGTATGTGTCAAATTAATACGCTGCGTACTTTTCGCTGGCGAAAAGTAATCTCTTAGTTAAACCGGAAAAAACTTATGCATACACCTGGTATATTGTGACGTGCTCTGAGGCCGCCCGCCACAAGGTTTAGCTAAAAATTCCGGAGCATTTCTGGTTCCTATGTTCACCCGTAGGAAGAGTGAGAGCGCAGGCGAATTACGAATAAAACGAACTGCGTGCGTAATTGCGCGAATTTCTTTGTCTTTTGTTGTTTTATTACTATTGTTTCGAGTTTTGCTTCCATTATACTAGATTATAGCAGCGAGATTAACGGCTGCCACGAGATTTGTGTATCACTGCCTCCTGACGATTGAGTACGCAGAAGATACCGCCACCGGGTGCAAGGAACTATCAAGTCGTATCGCCTGATATCATCCTACATAGTTGCCGAATTTCTCTCTCTGCATATCAGTTCCCGTATTGTAGCGCGACATTTTCAGTCGAGAGGCTGACCCATACAACGCAGGGACCGAACGGCGAACAAAAGGGAAGGCGCCACTTCTCGTGAAATAGCGAGGAGACCTCACACAGAAGAAAGCGAGCTGAAAAGC